TTTCAATTTTCTTAAATTTACCAAAGCTTGATTTGTGACCCAAGATATGATCTCTCTTGGAGAATGTCCCATGAACACTTGAGAAGAAAGTGTATTCTGCTGTTTTTGTATGCAGTGTCCTATAATTATCAGTTAAGTCCATCTTGTTTAATGTATCATTTAAAGCTTGTGTTTCCTTATTTATTTTCATTTTGGATCATCTGTCCTTTGGTGAAAGTGGGGTGTTAAAGTCTCCTACTATGATTGTGTTACTGTCAATTTCCCCTTTTATGGCTGTTAGCATTTGCCTTATGTATTGAGGTGCTCCTATGTTTGCTGAATAAATATTTACAATTGTTATATATTCTTCTTGGATTGATCCCTTGATCATTATGTAGTGTCTTTCTTTGTCTCTTGTAATAGTCTTTGTTTTAAAGTCTATTTTGTCTGATATGAGAGTTGCTACTCCAGCTTTCTTTTGATTTCCATTTTTATGGAATATCTTTTTCCATCCCCTCACTTTCGGTCTGTATGTGTCCCTAGGTCTGAAGTGGGTCTCTTGTAGACAGCATATATAGGGGTCTTGTTTTTATATCCATTCAGCCAGTCTATATCTTTTGGTTGGAGCATTTAATCCATTTACATTTAAGGTAATTATCTATACATATGTTCCTATTACCATTTTAATTGTTTTGTGTTAGTTATTATAGTTGTTTTCCTTCTCTTGTGTTTCCTGCCTAGAAAAGTTCCTTTAGCATTTACTGTAAAGCTGGTTTGGTGGTGCTGAATTCTCTTAGCTTTTGCTTGTCTGTAAAGGTTTGGATTTCTCCATCGAATCTGAATGAGATCCTTGCTGGGTAGAGTAATCTTGGTTGTAGGTTTTTCCCTTTTATCACTTTAAATATGTTCTGCCAGTCTCTCTGGCTTGCAGAGTTTCTGCTGAACGATCAGCTGTTAACCTTATGGGGATTCCCTTGTATGTTGTTTTTCCTTTGCTGCTTTTAATATTTTTTCTGTGTATTTAATTGTTGATAGTTTGATTAATATGTTTCTTGGCATGTTTCTCCTTGGATTTATCCTGTGTGGGACTCTCTGCACTTCCTGGACTTGATTAACTATTTCCTTTCCCATATTAGGGAAGTTTTCAACTATAATCTCTTCAAATATTTTCTCAGTCCCCTTTTTTTTCTCTTCTACTTCTTGGACGCCTATAATTCAAATGTTGGTTTAATGTTGTCCCAGAGGTCTCTGAGACTGTCCTCAATTCTTTTCATTCTTTTTTCTTTATTTTTTCTTTATTCTGCTCTGCAGTAGTTATTTCCTCTATTTTATCTTCCAGGTCACTTATCCGTCCTTCTGCCTCAGTAATTCTGCTATTGATTCCTTCTAGAGAATTTTTAATTTCATTTATTGTGTTTTTCATTATTGTTTGTTTGCTCTTTAGCTCTTCTAGATGCTTGTTAAACGTTTCTTGTGTTTTCTCCATTCTATTTCCAAGATTTTGGATCATCTTTTCTGTCATTACTCTGAATTCTTTTTCAGGTAGACTGCCTATTTCCTCTTCATTTTTTAGGTCTGGTGGGTTTTTACCTTGCTCCTTCATGTGCTGTGCATTTCTCTGTCTTCTCATTTTGCTTAACTTACTGTGTTTGGTGTCTCCTTTTCGCAGGCTGCAGGTTCGTAGTTCTTGTTGTTTTTAGTGTCTGCTCCCAGTGGGTGAGATTGGTTCAGTGGGTTGTGTAGGCTTCCTGGTGGAGGGGACCAGTGCCTATGTTCTGGTGGATGAGGCTGGATCTTGTCTTTCTGGTTGGCAGGTCCACGTCTGGTGGTGTGTTTTGGGGTGTCTGTGGACTTATTATGATTTTAGGCAGCCTCTCTGCTAATGGGTGGGGTTGTGTTCCTGTCTTGCTAGTTGTTTGGCATAGGTTGTCCAGCACTGTAGCTTGCTGGTTGTTGAGTGGATCTGGGTCGTAGCCCTGAGATGGAGATCTCTGGGAGAGCTTTCACTGTTTGATATCACGTGGAGCCAGGAGGTCTCTGGTGGACCAGTATCCTGAACTCAGCTCTCCCACCTCAGAGGCACAGGCCTGATACCCAACTAGAGCACCAAGACCCTGTCAGCCACACAGCTCAGAAGAAAAGGGAGAAGAAAAGAAATAAATAAATAAAATAAAATAAAATAAAGTTATTAAAATAAAAAATAATTATTAAAAACAAAAAAAAATTTTTAAGTAATTAAAAAAAGAAAGGAAGAAAGAAGAGAGCAACCAAACCAAAAAACAAATCCACCAATGATAACAAGCACTAAAAACTATACTATGAAAAAAAAAAGAAACAGACAGAAGCCTAGGACAAATGGTAAAGGCAAAGCTATACAGACAAAATCACACAAAGAAGCATATGCATACACACTCACAAAAAGAGGAAAAGGAAAAAATATATATATATAGTTGTATATATATATAGATATATATAGATAGATAGATCGTTGCTCCCAAAGTCAATCGCCTCAATTTTGGGATAATTCGTTGTCTATTTGGGTATTCCGCGGATGCAGGGTACGTCAAGTTGATTGTGGAGATTTAATCTGCTGCTCTTGAGGCTGTTGGGAGAGATTTCCCTTTCTCTTCTTTGTTTGCACAGCTCCCGGGGTTCAGCTTTGGATTTGGCCCCGCCTCTGCGTGTAGGTCCCCTGAGGGTGTCTGTTCTTTCCTCAGTCAGGACGGGGTTAAAGGAGCAGCTGATTAGGGAGCTCTGGCTCACTCAGGCGCGGGGCATGGGAGGGAGTGTATGGAATGCAGGTCGAGCCTGCGGCGGCAGAGGCCGGCGTGACGTTGCCACAGCCTGAGGCGGGCTGTGTGTTCTCCTGGGGAAGTTGTCACCGGATCATGGGGCCCTGGCAATGGCGGGCTGCACAGGCTCCCAGGAGGGGAGGTGTGGATAGTGACCTGTGCTCGCACACAGGCTTCTTCGTGGCTGCAGCAGCAGCCTTAGCGTTTCATGACTGTCTCTGGGGTCCGCGCTGTTAGCCGCGGCTCGTGCCCGTCTCTGGAGCTCGTTTAGTCAGTGCTCTGAATCCCCTCTCCTCACACACCCTGAAAAAATGGTCTCTTGACTCTTAGGCAGGTCTAGACTTTTTCCCAGACTCCCTCCCTACTAGCTGTGGTGCACTAGCCCCCTTCAGGCTGTGTTCATGCCGCCAACCCCAGTCCTCTCTCTGGGATCTGACCTCCGAAGCCCGAGCCTCAGCTCCCAGCCCCCACCCGCCCGGCGGGTGAGCACACAAGCCTCTCGGGCTGGTGAGTGCCGGTCGGCGCCGATCCTCTGTGCGGGAATCTCCCCGCTTTGCCCTCCGCGCCCCTGTTGCTGTGCTGTCCTCCGCGGCCCCGAAGCTCCCCCCCGCCATCCCCCGTCTCCACCAGTGAAGGGGCTTCTAGTGTGTGGAAACTTTTTCTCCTTCACAGCTCCCTCCCACTGGTGCAGGTCCTGTACCTATCCTTTTGTCTCTGTGCTTTTGTTTTCTCTTGCCCTACCCAGGTAAATGGGGACTTTCTTGCCTTTTGGGAGGTCTGAGGTCTTCTGCCAGCATTCAGTAGGTGTTCTGTAGGAGTTGTTCCACGTGTAGATGTATTTCTGGTGTATCTGTGGGGAGGAAGGTGATCTCCACATCTCACTCCTCCACCATCTTGAAGGTCTCCCCTGCAGTTTGTTGTTCCCTGAGTCTATATTCTTCTCTCTGGGACCAGAATTCCACTCAGCAGCTGTTTGAGTATGGGCCTGTTGGCAACAAAAATCTCTCCGTTTTTGTTTGGTATATTTTTATCTTATTTTCATTATCGAAGGAACTTTTCACTGATGGTTGAATCCTCAGTTAGAGGTTATTTTCTCCTGCATTTCACCCATCCCATTGTCTTCTGACTCCCATCATTCAAGTTAAAAAGTCAGCTGTCCCTCCTCTCATAGCTTCTGTGAAAGTAAAGTGTGTCTTCCTCCAGTTGCTTTCAACGTTTTCTCTTTGTCTCTGTTTTCCATGATGTTCCTGGGTGGTTTTGTTTATTTGTTTGTTCGTTTTTGTTTCGTTTTTATCCCACTCCTAGATTCTGTAGCTTGGTGGGTTTTTTTTAGTTTTGGAAAATTCTTGGCCCTTATCTCAAACATTTCTTCTAACCCGTTCTCTCTCTTCCCCTCTCACGGGAGTGCACTTGTATCTGTGTTAGACCTTTTCATCGTGTTCCAAATATGTTAACTGTAGAAACGAGTACTGCAGGGCCTCAAGGTGGAAATGAGCTTACATCCATAAAGGACAGTGAAGAGAAAGATGCAGCCCACATGATACCTGAGTTTTCTCTTCCTGACCTTGGTTCTTTTCTGTGTGGTTTGAATGGGTAATTGGGGAGCGTAGGTTGGGATGTTGGGAGTGTACAAGACTTTGCAGGACCCGTAGTGCTTATTTCCTGGGGAAATAAAGCATGAGCCACTGAGCTGGTTGGGCAGGGAGCCTGGTGGTTAGGAAGAGCGCTGGTTTGGGAACAGGCTTGTACACTCAGATCCTGAATCCCTACTTTAGCTACTTGCTTCACTTGAGCAACTTGCTTCACTTCTTTGTGTTCTGTTATTTGTAAAATGGGGATAAAGTACATATTTCGTAAAATGAAGAAGATTAAAGAAAAGAGCAGCATAAAGCACTTAGGAGAGAACTTTGCCTGTAGCAACATTCAGTAAGGTGGTTGTTCTTCTCTCATCATTCTTACATTGTTATTGCCCTGCTTACTTCCTGCCCACCCAGGATCCCAAGACAGTCGGCGGTAACTGTCTATGGAGTGTTGGTGGTGGCAGGCCCCAGAGACAGTGCTCTGTTGGGTGTTTGTTCTTGAGTTCACCAGGCTGTTGGCAGGGATTGCTCATTATTTTGTATGACTGTTGCCCCCCACAGCCGTGTGTTTGCCACATTTGGGGCTTTGGGGGCTCCCGAGGCCCCCCCCCCCCGCAGTGGCTGACTCTGGCCTTCCTTTCCCCTTCAGTATGGAATGCTCCTTTACCAGAACTACAGAATCCCTCAGCAGAGGAAGGCCATGCTGTCCCCCTTCTCAACTCCAGTGGTAAGTAAAGCTGCCAGCCCCAAAACCAAGTTCCTACTCAGCTGCTGCGTCAGCATGTGCTGTGGACATCTCGTTTCGGATGAGGCTGACCAGAGAAGCTGCAGAACGAGCTTGTGCGTTTCAGAGAAGCCAGAATATCTCACCACCTTGCGTTTCCCAGAAGGTGGACTTGGTCGTCCCAACAGTGTGCCTGCCGGGAGCAGATTCCTCTGCCACCCTCACCCTGTCCCCACATCTCCCCGCAGGGTTGCCTCAGTAGATGGCTCCATTTAAGGGCTCTCCATTCACGTACTCAGAAATGTCGACAGCAACTCTCAGCTCCACTGAGGAGCCGCCTTCCCACCTTTGCTTTCGTCCATTTCAGCTGTGGGACCCGCGGTGCTGTTGACCATGACGCTTAAGTCTTTCTCTGTGAGAATTGAGATTGTCGTGAGTCATCTTGTGTCCTCAGGATGGACTTTAGTTCCCAGAGGTGCAGAAATGCTTCATCCTTTCAAACTACGATCTTAACAGCCCCTCGATGTCCATTCCTAGATGTTAAACTATCCCACAGAACGAGTCCCTGTGTTTCCCTGAACTAACTTACCCGACTTGGCTGATGGTGAGGGCTGGCTTGCACTTGACGATTCCATTTCTTTGATGAGTTTTAGTGCACATTCGGGACCCCGTGAAAGACCACACAGTCCCAATCCTGTGGGTACCAGCAGCCTCACCAGTGGCCTTCGAGTACCTCGAGAGGCCTGGAACATTTCTTTGTTCTTCTTGAGAAAAACCCAAGCCATTTTTAGTCCGGGGCACTTGTGGCACTGAATGTTCCATCTGATCCTTAGAGAGTTGGGATGGTGGAGGGACTTGCCCGTCCTCTCCTGCCCCTCCCCAGGCACGGCTGTTCTGTGCCAAGGTTCCCACCTGCTGCCCTGGCTGTTTCCCTGCATCTTAAGAACTCACGGCCTCTCGTTTCCAGCGCAGTGTCTCCGAGAACTCCCTTGTGGCCATGGATTTTTCTGGGCAAACGGGAAGAGTGATCGAGAACCCGGCTGAGGCTCAGAGTGCAGCCCTGGAAGAAGGCCACGCCTGGAGGGTAAGGCCATGGCCCTGTCCCGCCAGGATGGGCTCCCTCACGGTGGCCACTCCACGCCTGGTCTGCCCCCAGAGGAATGGCTGTGTGCTGGCGTCGGGGTGAGAGGCTGGGAGGGTGGGTGGCTGTGAGTTCTCAGCTGCAGGAAGCCTTGGCCCTCCTGGGCTCCTCCATGTGCCCAGCACCCTGCCACCGCACCACCCTCGTCCCTGGGCTCCCGTGGGGGGAGGGGCAAGGAGCAGAGCCCTGGGTTCCCCCGGCTCGCAGCCCCGTTCCTGCTGGAGTCTTCCGGGCGGGCAGAGCGTGAGGCCAGGTATTCCCAGTGTGGCTCGACCTCTAACTAGCTTCACATCCTTGGGCAGTCTTTTTACTCTGAGGCCCAAGTTCCTAATCGCCAGATGGATGAATATCTCCCAACTTCCAAGCTTTTCTGAGCTTTAAAGACAGTGTACAAAACACAAGCCCACAGCTCTGGCTCCGAAAGCCTCCCCCTCCCTCAGCCTCAGAGTGCGCAGAAAAGGAGAATGCACCCAAAGCCACGACCAGTGTTCAGACCTGCCTGAGTTCCCTGGAAAATCTCGTGCTTTTCTCCTAAGATGTATTGGGAATTTCACTCCATGTCTTGTGTGTGACAAACACGTCTCTGCTTCCATACTGGAGTCCTTAGAAATATACCAGGATGGGGATGCTTCTGGTGTTTTTAACAACTGCCACCTGTAAGCTGTCTGTCCTTGTGGTCACATGGGACTGAGGTGTCTGTCATTCCATGGTCGAGGGCCCTGTCACCTGGCCAGCTCCCCGCCCCAGCTGTGTCCCAGGTGGCGTGCTGTTTGTGTCACTCTGCTGTCTTAGCACTAACGCGGCGATTTCTTTTGCAGAAGCGAAGCACGCGAATGAATATCCTCGGGAGCCAGAGCCCCCTCCACCCTTCCACCCTAAGTACAGGTAAACGCTGGCATCCTGGCCTGATATTTTTGTACGTAAATAAAATAAAAGAGCTCCCAGCCCTCCCTGAGCTTCACAACGTTGTCCAGGCCCAGAGCGCAGCATGAAAGCTGCAGCCGCGGAAATCCGGGCCCCGTGTGGACCTGAGTGAGCTCGCAGGGCAGCCGCTGTGCGCGGGCCCCAGGCTACCCACCTTCCTCTGCTTCCCGCAGTGATTCACAGGACACAGCACTGGTTTCACGGCAGGATCTCCAGGGAGGAGTCACACCGGATCATTAAGCAGCAGGGGCTCGTGGATGGGTAAGGGACACGACGGACAGGGTGGGCGTCTGCTGAGGGTCTGCTGGGCTCAGCTCCTCAGAGGATCCTGCCATGGGGTGTGGGGCTGGGCAGCGGTTGCAGCCTCATTCTAAAGAGGAGCAGTGTGCTCAGGGGACCGAGGATACTGCAGGGTTTGCACGGCTACGAAGTGGAGAGAGGGATTGCAGTCCATTTCTGTCCAGACGCTAAAATCATTCTCTACCTCCTTGATGAAATTCGAACAGATGAAGAACGCATGTTGCTTCTTTTTGATCAATAAGGCAGTGGGCCAGTGGAAAACCGTATCTTCTTGCCTACACCTTTTGCTTTATGCCTTATATCATTGACCTTTGCCCCAGCCACCCCAGATCTTAGTGACGCAAAGCAGCAAAGCTGTATCATTTCTCACAGTTAGGGCTGCTTGGGTGGCTTTTCCCACCGGGGCCAGCAGAACTCACGTGCCTGGTGGCTAGTGCTGGCCGTGGCTGGGTGCCGAGGTGCCTGGGCACAGGTCTCTGGCAGGTTAGCCTGAGTCCATCGTGGCCATCACGGGGATCCCAAGGGTAAGAGGTCAACCCCAGTGCACAAGCACTTCTCAAGGTGACGCCCCCATGGTCAAGGCAAACCCGGCGGCCAGGCTCAGCATCACTGTGAATGAGAGGAAGCTGCCCCGGGTGTGGCTGCAGACATGTGAGTGACTGTGACTGCAGCATGGTCCCTCCCGAGCTCAGCCCGAGTCCTGCCTCCACCCCCCCCCCCCACCCCCCGCAAAAAGAGACCCAGACGAGTTAGTTGGATGCCCTGGTCCATCCTTGTCATGGCTGCCTCTCACTGGGTCTACTCAAAAGACAGGCTCTCGGGAGCTGCTCAACTCACAGCAGCCCTTTTGTTCTTCAGATCCTTCATCTTTAAAAAGTTTTCTCATGGGACTCGAAAAGTTCACATGAGAGAGGAGAGGGTGAGGAGCCCCGTCTGCCTCTTGCCAAGCTTCAGAATTTGCTCACCGGAGCTGGTATCCTCCCCTTCCTACATTTTTATTATTTTTTTCTCCTCTCCTCTTTGCCTTCCTCTCCTTCCTTCTAACTTTTCCCCCTTTTCTTCCTCTACTTTTTCCTTTTTCTTCTGAGCTATTTTAAAGGAAATCCCCGACGTTCGGAATTTTTACCAGTAACTGTATTTCAGTGAGTGTCTGAAAAATAAGGACCCTTTTCTTCTGAGAGACCCGCACTATCGTCGTTGCATCTAACATAAACAAGAATTTCTTAGTGTCCTCAGAAGTCCCATCATGTTCACACACACGAAAGCCCTTTAAATGTAGTTGGTCTAAATCAGGATCCACCCGTGGCGTCTGGTTGAAGTGTCTCTGTCTCCCTAAATATAATCGTAGTCTCCCCACCACTCCATTTTCTTTCCTTTTTTTCCTTTGTCATATCTTTCCTTTGTTGAAGAAGTAGGTCATTTGCTAACTGTGTACCTGTGGTTTCTCTGACTGTGTTCCTCTCTCTCCCTCGTTTCCTGTAAAGTGTGGGCAGAAGCTTGGTTAGACTCAGAGCCTGTTCCCGGGACCGAGCTTCGGGGCTGCATGTCTGTACTGCCCACTTCCTCATCCCGGGCTGGGCGGGGCTCTGGCGTTGTCAGCCCGGCCCCCAGTCCAGCTCCCAGCCCCCTACACAGAATGGTCTGAGCCACTGAACCCGCCCAGGTTTATTGTTTCATTAGAGGTCACAGAGTCACTGTTTTCTAATTCTGTTATTCCTTCATCATTCCTTAGCTAAAATCCTTTTCCTTGTCACGTATTTGTTTTTCTCTCTGTCAGTTTTCAGGATCACGATTTGGTGTTCTGCCGTCTTCCGGTACTTACAAATGAGGTGTTCCGTTTTGGTTTTTAACCCTCATGATGAACTCAGATACTATGTGTTTAATTTGTTTCAATTCGAGCTTAAAGTTCTTCACGTTCCCTATGCCCTCTTTTTGTCCCATGGGGCAGGCCTCTTTCAAGTTGGTTCCTGAGTTCTTTTGACCCAGCACTAATCGGGTTTGCTTTCTGGTGTGACACATTCTCTTAAGGCCCCTAATTCTTTGTAGTGGAAAATGGCGTCTGGAAACCAAATTGGTAGGTCTTTTCCATGGGCAGAACTAGGACATAGGCTTTTTAAACTGAAAAATAGATTACAGGTTCACATTGATACTGCCAATTCAAATGGAAAATTACAGGGTGTGTACACCTTTGATTTTATTGTCTCTCTCTTCTCTTCCTCTGAAAAATCTTACTAATGACAGTCACTTACTTATTTGTTTTACCTCACTCTGTACTTGTCTGCTGTATCCCATATCACATCATGAAAATGTTGATAACATTACTTCAGTACTACTGAATTCGCACTTCTTTGCAGCCCTTTTAATCCTTAAGGAATAGTCCAGGCAGGTCATGTTAAAGTACCAACCTTAAGGTAATTCTTCCCCGTGGTTCCACCACCAAACTGCCATGTTTTCAGGTTCATTCCTCTGTTTGTTTCTGATTTTTGTTAAGTGGATCTGATTTATTTCCTCTTCAATTTAATGCTGCTTTTAAAACTATGTAAAAATTGCCTTGGTTCCAAAGTCAAAAGTTATAAAAACAGGTACTTGGCCTGGTGACTCTACTCTGCCCCCAACTCCACAATGGGTAAACATTTTCATCAGTGTTTGTTTGTTTATCCTTCTGTTGTTTCCTTTTAAAAATATAAGCAAAACACATTTGTTTCCGTAGTCTGCCTCATCTTAACAAGGGCGTGTACTGGCCACGGAGGTCTGACCCTGAGCTTAGCTGCGGCCTGAGGATGCTGGGGTGGCATGGCCAGGAGGGTTGCCCCCTTCCTTGTCCCCTGCTGGGTTCTCTTTCACACGATAGAGCTTCATTGTTTCCAGGCTTCTGTTATGACACACTGTGCCCCATCTTCATGTTTTTGCTAGTGTCTCTTTGCCGGTGAGTTCGAAGAAATGGGAGTGTTGAACGGATGGGTAACATTGTAAACTCTGGCTCGATTCCCCTCCCCAGGGATGTCTGAGAGTCGCCTGCCTTTCCCTCATCTAGGAGGCTGGGTCTCTAGCATATGATTAAGGGCCAGTTTCATTTCCAATCTTTTTGTGTTGCTGAACTGTTGGTACATACTTGCCCGGTTTTCTACATCCATTTTTTTTGTATATACAGTTTTTTTAAATTAATTTTATTTATTTTAAATTTTGGCTGCTTTGGGTCTTCGTTGCTGCACACAGGCTTTCTCTAGTTGCAGCGAGCGGGGGCTACTCTTCATTGCGGTGTAGTTGTGGCTCGCGGGCTCTAGCACGCAGGCTCAGTAGTTGTGGCACGCGGGCTTAGTTGCTCCGCAGCATGTGGGATCTTCCTGGACCAGGGATCGAGCCTGTGTCCCCTGCATTGGCAGGCGGATTCTTAACCACTGCGCCACCAGGGAAGCCCCTACATCCATTTTTTACAAACCCTTTTTCCCCAGGTTGTCATTTGTCCTTTTGACTTAGCTATTGGGGGTTTGGGTTTGGGTTTGGTTTTGTTTGGGTTTTGGTTATACAATTTTTCTAAATATGGTCAAGTTTATCTTTTCTGTCCTTTAGCCTGTATCTTTCTGGATTTTTGATTCATAGTCATATAAGTTTTTCCTGCTTCTCAATCACAAAGGAGTTTGCTCATGTTATCCTCTAGAACTTGTGTTGTTTCTCTCCCCCCTTCCTTCCTTCCTATTTTTTTCATGATTATTTCTTCCTTTTTTGCTTGTTCATTTTTGTTTGTGTGTTTAGATCCCAGGTACATTTCAGAATTTATTCATCCCCGGTGCACTGTTTAAAGATGGATCTGATTTTTTTCCCATGTGGCTGTACAGTTGTTCCAAACGACTTATTTGAAATGTCACTTGATCATAGAACAGTCCCTTTTAGAGCCTTAGAGATGACCCCTCCTGACTACAAACAAGATGCTTCTCCTCTGAACTTTCTGCCTAAGAGAGAAAAGCCTACCCTCCGAAATTCCTCTCTTAGTGATGTTCTTTGCCTGTAGGTTTGTGTGTGTCTCCAGGGCTTCAAGGACAAGATGCTCACCCATTACAGCCCTAAATCCCATCCAAAGTGAGCCCTCAAATGTTCTCATGGTGTCCCATTTACCGTATCACCTGTGAGATTCGTTCCAAGGAAGCCAAGTGGGTTTGCTTACCAGGTGACGTAAGTCATAAGCCAGTAATTCAAGAGGCAAGTGTGAGTAGAAAGGAAAGGTGCTTTAATCAGAAGAAAAGCAAGCAATCTGGGGAGAAGGTGGACTCATGTCCTAAGACCAACTCTGAAGGTTCTGCTCAGCCATGACAGTTTTTAAAGGGAAAAACAGTGACAGGTGGAGGGGAAGAATCCCAGTGAGTCATCGAGGCAGGAGGTTGGGTTCTGCATCCTTCTCCATTGCATTCAGACTGGCTGATTCTTCGGATATTATCTTGCCCAAGTGATCTGCCTGCAGAATTGCTAAGGGGGCTGTTGAGGGTAGAGAGCCAGTCATTTTTTAACTGCTTAATTCTTCATTCTTCTTTTTATCCAGGAAAAGAATCAGCAGGTTAGACAAGGCACCGTGTGTGCTCAGGAGAGCATGGATCAGGAGTTAGTTTCAAATGCCTAGTGATTCATTCCTATAATCAGGTTCTTTTAACATTAGAGGGGGATAGAAATGGGCCAACAGGAAAGGGGCAAAAGAGCTGCTTTTGACAATGCCAGAGAAGTGAAGGTTCCACAGGACGTGTCACTTGGTGCCGTGGCCACAGCATCCCTCCTGGGGCCCAGGGCGGTGGCACCTACATCCCTGAGGGGCTGACACATCCAGGCTCAGGAAGGGGACGCGGGGGACCAGTGTGTTTTGAAGAAGCTTCCCCAGTGATTGTGAGCTCAGGCCCAGCCGGCCCACTTTGCGTTAAAAGGAGCTGTCCTCGGGCAGGGGAGCCTGGGGCGGACAAACCGTGTTTGTCTTTCAACTTTTCCTGGAGTCTAGCACCAGTTGGCGAGGTTGCCTCTGTCCAGCCTTGGTGAGAAGTGTGGGCATCCCTCTGCCAACTTTCCTCCCCCTGCCTGCCTTGTTTCTCTCTGTCCTCCCTGGGGTCTGAGTTGCGTCTAAGGTTATAATTTTCAATCCCAACATCCGGCTGCTGGCGCTCTAGCAAAATCAAAAGGCAGGGTGATGGAACATCGCATGAGGTGTCATTGCAGTGATGCCACATCGTCCATTCATCCCCTTGTTCAGGGCGGAAACGTGCTGGGAAAACAAGGTAAATTAAATAATCAATTCCTAGTCATTACCCCTCCCTGCAGAGGTAATGGAGGGAAGCCAATGTAGAGAGTCAGACAGCAAGCAGAAAACAGCACTGGAGGGCAGGCCAGAACGACAACCGTTACAAAACACCACTTGCTAGACCTTTAGCCTCAAATCACTGATGGAGTTGGGGTGAGGGGGGCTGGAAAGAGACAGCAGAGCCTGCAGTCAACCCGGGAGGCGGCTCTGAAGTCCGCTGGGTCCGGGCAGCCCCCCACAGGTGACCTGTGCGCGCGTGCAAGCACGGGTCTGTGCACACGTGTACGTGTGTGCGTGTTGCGCTCACACCCCCTGGGCCTGCAGGGCCTGCCGCGGGGCTGGCACTCGCTGGCTGCCCCCTTCCTTCCCCTCTTTCCGCCGACAGCCCATCCCAGAGCCTGGGACAGAAGGAGCTTTTCAAGGGGCCAGTCCCGCGCTGTGGGCCCCCCTGCTGATCTTTCCCCGGGGCTCCTGTCGGGACCTGCGGCATTTAAGGCTCTGTGCCCCCCGTCCCGCCCCTGCCTCGTTCACACTCAGGGTCAAGCCCCGCCACCCCCTTGTTGTCCCCTGTGCCTGTCTGTCGTGAGCTGGTCCCTCTGTCCGCGCCCCAGGCCCCTCCGCTGGGTGGAAGGCAACGTCTTTGTCAAGGCTTGAGTTCTTTGCGGCTCTCCCTCCCCTGGGGCAGAGTGGGGTGCCGTCCCAGGGCTAACACAGCCACCTCGGAAAAGCGTAGGGTGCTCACCGGTCACGGAGGAACCACCTGCGCACTTGCTTCTGCTGTGCCGGGGCTCCTCCCTAGTTTCTTCTGGCTGTGTGACCTTGGAGAATTTGCCTGACTTCTCTGGGACCCGCTGCCCTCACTGTAAAATGGGGACAGTGACAGGGCCACTGTGATTCCTGAGTGAGGCCAGTGTGTGCGGTGCCGGGACCACCACACACCTGAGCTGTGCTATTGCTCTGATCTCCCTCAGCCCCTTTGTACTTTCATAAATGGACATGTGAGCCTTGGCTTCAGTCCTAACATTCCTCAGCACTTTCATTCCATGCTCCATTCCGATGACCTAAGCAGAGGCGTCCGTGGCATGTTAGCTCCCAGCCTGGTCTCTGAAGTAGCCACCCCCCAGCCTGCCCCGAAATCCCTGCGCCCGTGGTTTGCTGGTGGCGATCACCAATTCCTCCAGTGTCCACAATGACTACACAACAGCCCTGAGCGTGTAGGTGGTCCTGCAGGAGAGGCTGGCAAGGCAGCAGCCCGTGATCTGAAGCTCCCGAGTGTCAGATCCAAGAATCTCGCTGACTCCTAGGCCCTACCCCCTTTCCTCCGTGTAGACGACCATTAGGCAGGACCTGTAAACCCAAGCCAGTGGGGCAGCCTCAGGATCTCCCAGGTCACACCCCAAACTGGAAAGCAGGTGGGCAGCGTCCTCCTTGGGGCTCAGAAGGAAGCATCAGGGGATTCATTGAGGGCTCAGGTGAGGAAACACAGCCCCAGCTTCTCCTCTGGGAAGATTGAGCCCTGCCCACCCCCAGGTTTCTGCTAGTGAAACACTAGGAGAAAAGGGCGCAGACTGGGAGGCGCAGACGCGCAGCCCTGCCCAGGAGAGGAGCTGGCCCTCTTGTCTTCCTGCCCTCAGGCTCCGCCGACACCGAGCGCATCACACAGGGGTCCAGCTCCAGCTCCGAGGCCCCATGTCTCCCGCCCACCTGGCCTAACAGTGCATCCCGGTTCACACCTCCAAGGTGTGTCCTGCAAAATACTATCAAAGAGGGGCTGGTATAGAATAAAAGATGCTGTAAAGAGTCAGGTAAGATAGGAAAACTCATGCTGGGGCCCTAAGGGAGTCGGGATGAATATCTACATTCTAAAGCCTCCAAGACGTCCTGTAGTAAAATAAACCGTTTTTACCTTTTATAACATGGGATTTCCCAGGCTTATGTAACTGCCTTCCCTCTGACATTACAATCTAGAAACTGATGGTTTAGCTGATTACCGCCATTTCGTGTCTAATACCTTTAAAGTATGTTTCCTCTCAGGCCATTTCTACTTTGTCACTGGGATCAGAGCCTTTTCCTTTCTAAAGAATAACTTGGTCTTCCCGTCTGATTCCAGATTTGTTCTGGAATCATTGTAAAAGCAATGACTTATGCTTCTTGGTGCTATTCTAAGTTTTAAAGTAATTTTTTAGTTAAAGTATAATTGATTTACAATATTGTGTTGGGTTCAGCTGTACAGCATAGCGATTCAGTATTTTTGAAGATTGTACTCCATTGTAGGCTATTACAAGATAATGGGTATAATTCCCTGTGTTACACAGTGCATCCCTGTCACTTGTCTGTTTTATACATAGTAGTTTGTATCTGCTAATCCCATACCCCTAATTTGTCCCTCCTCCTTCCCTCTCCCCTTTTGGTAACCACGAGTTTGTTCTCTGTATCTGTGAGTCTGTTTCTGCTTTGCATATATATTCATCTTTATTAGTTTTTAGATTCCACATACAAGTGATATCATACAACACTTGTCTTTCTCTGTCTGATGTATTTCACGGAGCATAATACTCTGTAGGTCCATCCATGTTTCTGCAAGTGGCAGAATTTCATCCTTTATTATGGCTGAGTAACACTGCACTGTATATATGTGTATAGGTACCACATCTTAATCCAGTCATCTGTTGATGGGCACTTGGGCTGCTTCCATGTCTTGGCTATTGTAAATACTGCTTCAGTGAACATTGGGGTGCACGTATCTTTTCAAATTAGTGTTTTTATTTTTTCTATTTATATGTGTCCAGGAGTAGAATTGCTAGAGCATATGGTAGCTCTATTTTTAGTATTTAAGGAACCTCCATCCTGTTCTGCACAGTGGCTGCACCAATTTACATTCCCACCAACAGTGCAGGAGGGTTCCCTTCTCTCCACAGCCTGGCCATCACTTGTTATTTGTAGACTTTTCCATGTCATTTCAAAATGTAGAATATTTGCAAGAATCATATAATGGAATCTCCTCTATACGTGTTATCCAGGCACCTGAGTCGTGAACATGGCAGCACCTTTGCTTTGTCATGTTCTCTCTCTCATTTTTTTATCAGAACCGTTTAGGAGTCAGTTGTAATTATTTCAGTATAAAATTTCTAAAAACAAGGACTTCTCTTAGGCAGCCACAGTATCATTATAAAACTTAGGAAATTAACGTGAACGTGGTTCGGTCACCTGACATGCCACTTAGATTTTACCAGGGGTCCTTGCTGCATCCTTCACCACCAAGGAAAAGAACTTCTTGGCCTCAGCACCGCCCTGGACCAGCACGTGTCCTGTCTTCCTTTGTGTCTTGACACTTGGAGGAGCCAGTGAGGACAGAACGTGCCGGGTTTGGCCGTCTGCTCACTCCCTGGAGGTGATGCTGGGTCACCTTTAGTGCATCCCATCAGGAGGTGCTGGGGTGGATTGTCTCATTCCTGGTGGTGGTAACTCGAATACCTGAAGGTGGTATCCACCAGGTTTCTCTATTGGAAAGTTACCGTGTGTCCCTCTGTCATAAATGTTAGGCGGTAGATGCTGAGACTATGAAAATATTCTGTTTCTCATCGAACCTTGATGCTGGTTTCAGCATCTATTAAAGATCTCCTTAATCAGATGGCCAAATAGTGGTTTTCTAATTCATCATCCTTCTCTGTTTATTTAGCTGACTTTCTGCTCTTAGGAAGAGCTTTTTTTCCTCCTCTATGATTTATTTATCACACCAGTGTGGACTCATGGATTCTTATCTTAGCCTATGGGTTATAATCCATCCCTTCTGTTAATGTACTTGGGTGCCCAGATTGGGCCACATTGCCTCTTGGGCCAGCTTTCTTATTTTCTGGCACAAAGTATACCAGTGTCACCTTGTACCTTCCCTGCCTCAGCCCTAGAGGTGCCATGTCCCCAAGGAGCCCTGGTTCCTTTCAGTGGAGAGTGACAGAAAGCACAGTCTGGGTGTGGAGGGTGGTCTAGCTCTACAGCTCACTCAGCTCCCAAAACCTCCTGAAGCATTATATATATATATTCAGTCTGGACTTTCTAAATTAACAGTCAGTTGACTCTTTCCATTCCCAGGCTTTTTCTCCTCCGTGACAGCCAGAGTAACCCAAAGGCATTTGTCCTCACGTTGTGTCATCATCAGAAAATTAAAAATTTCCAGATCTTACCTGTAAGTATTGATGTTTTTCACACTAATTCTTATTCTTCTGTGTACCAGTTTTGTTCTTAATGCAATTTTCAAGGTCTCAACTAAGCAGACTATGAAACAGTAAACATCAGACAGTTTCAAGCTCACTGGTGAGATCCGTTCAGGAGTTTCTTGAGAGGTTGGTGGTTTGAACTTGGGAACAGTGTTTCCCTAGAACACTGAAAATGGTGGCATTGTACTGTGGCCCCGACACGCCTGTGTAGCTCATAGGTGCCGCCGAGACAGCACCCGATGGCAAGAGCAGAGTCAGGTGATGGGCAGACACAGAGCAGAGCTGTTAGCCCAGGACCTGGTGCAGGAAGGATCACGTGTGGCTGTGCAGACACAGGCTGTTGGCCACTTAACCTCAGGATTTGCCTGATTTGTGCTGGTATGGACCGGGGGGACTCAGGAAGCCTGTAGAAGACTGACCCGTGGCCCCCAAAGACAAGTGTTAATCCTTCCACTGGGTCCTTGGATCAGAAAACAGATTCTCCCTTTGAACAATTTCGAAAGCCTCGTTATTGAATATGATGTATTGGTCAACACCACTCTCTTTAAGGATGTTGGTTAGATTTGCCAAAAGTAACTGACCTCTTCCATGTGCCCAAGTTCAGATTCTAGTTCACGACTTGGGTGTTGTGTGGGAGACAGTTGTCAGCACCTCCGAGAATGCGTAGTCTCTTTGGGGCCGAGATACACAAAATGAATTCCAAATGTGTTATGTACACTGTACGTATAGATGTAGTTGTATAGAAGTGGTCAGTTCTGCAGGTAATAACAACTCTCGTGAAATGTTTCCTCTGGAACCCGGACCTGGGAAATATGCTGCTGAAAGAGGGTGGCCAGATATAACTCTGTCGTTTACAAAGTGAAGCCCTGAGAAGGCTTGAAGTAACCAAATGCATCCATTTCACATAGTGGGACCTGGCGTTTTTCAAGGGTGCTTGAGCCCAGGACTTTATACCGACTGTCTGGAGAGTCATTGCAGGCACAGGAGGCATGAACGGGAGGGGGAAGGGCAGGCAGGGCTGGCTTTTGTGACCTGGGGGGAAGCAGCCTGCCTGGCACTGTCTGTTGAAGTCGCTTCCTGCTGTGCCCAATGCCCTCACTGTATAAACGGGGAAAATGAGACCCTCACAGCTCTCAGTGGCCTGTCCTGGACCACCAGGGAGGGACAGACTGTGGGTTACAGCCCAGGCTTCACAGATTCCACAAAACATGGTAATAAGCAAACCTGGGGACTGTTGTTCACAGGAAAGTGCCTCATCCACAGCCCTTTTTGTTTTCTGCTGCGTTACATTATTGACCAGATGTTATTCTCTTAGCCTCAAATATGAAATAAAATGAAAAAGTACTGGCCAGCAGAATATGCAATACCATTGCCCCAAATAACCCCAAATCCTAGAATTATCAGACAGACAGGAACTTGAGAAGTGTAGCAATGAGAATGCAACCTCAGGGCTTAAACACAGGCTATGGATGTGCTTGGGGCTCCAGAGTTTGTGGATTAAGAAGTGGTTCTTAGTTTATGCGTCGACACAGGTTTAAGGCTAACTTCCTCTGTGTGAACAGTGCAGGGCAACTCTCCTGACCGCTGTGTATTGCAGTCATTGATCTCAAAATTCATCCAATTAAAATCGATGTGAATTCATTTCTGGGAGATATTGTAGATGTCCTCCATTTTAAGAAAAATAGCTACCAGATATTCCATGACCTGGGCCAGGTTCTTCTCCTACATGATCTCATCAATCCCTTAGAGTAATCCAACATTTGCTTTGTAATAGAGCAAAGTGAACGTCAGAGGGGTGAAGGAGGTTGCTTGGGGTCCTACTGTGAGAGCCCAGGGCTGTGTACTCTTACACGAGCATGCTGTATGCGTGGACACTCACAGGTTAACTGGTCAACCTCACCCTCCTCCGTGGGCTGTGCCGAGTGCACGGACACTCACAGGTTAACTGGTCAACCTCACCCTCATGAGCACATGAGCCAGGAGGAGCTTGGGGCTCTTGCCCATGACCAGCTCAGGAGCAGGGGACCTGCTCTGCATGGCAGCTTAGGGACCTGGAAGCACCCAGCACAAACCCCTCGCCCCCTGACCTCCTGCCCTGGCGTTTCCTAGCTCACCTCGCCAGCTCCATGTGTGTCCCTTAGAGCCTCACTACGGGTGGACAGCACTAATCCTGACTTTGGGGCCTGTTTCGTCCCCGAGCTGTGGCCTCTGACTTGGCAGGTCTTCTTGTGTCTCTAGTGCGAGGATGACGGGCAGACCTTCTTCAGCCTTGACGACGGCAACACCAAATTCTCTGACCTGATCCAGCTTGTTGACTTTTACCAGCTGAACAAAGGGGTCCTGCCTTGCAGACTGAAGCACCACTGCATCCGCGTAGCCTTATGACCTCAGGTCTACCCTGGCTGCAGGCTGGAGGACGCTGACACTGGAGTGAAGAGGTCTGTGCATCGTTCAGAACACACGTCTGTCTGCACCTTGGGGCTCGGAGCAAGATGGGTGCGTTCGGCACTGACCGACCACGATCGACTGGTTTGTTGGACTTGACGATGATTTGCTGCTGCAGATCCAGCAGGGCCGCGCCCCTCTCGCTGGCCTCAACGGGGTGGTCGGAAGACAGCAGACTCGAGAATAAACTGGAGTGATGGTCTTGGCTGGGCCATGGAGGAACACAAGCTGGAGAGAAGTGATTGGAAATGAACTCTCGCCCTGGAATAATCTTGACAATTAAAACTGATATGTTTACTTTTTTGTATTGATCCCTTTTTTGCACTCCTTGTTTTCAATATTGTATTCAGCTTATGGCAAGAGGGGCCGTGGCTTTTCAGTCTGTGCAAGACGCAAAGACAGTTGCTAAGGGGCAGCCCCCAGAGGCTGTTTGCAGAGGGTGGTGCCCACCTTCTGCAGGTCACTCACAGGCAACCGGCACCCTAGCCCTCCCCAGTTTCCTTGGAAGCTTTTTTGATATAAAAGGTGTTCCTGTGGTAGGCACGTGGCACGCTCTGTGGCCAGGCAGGCGGGTGGTCAGCCAGCCCCTGCGCTGAGCACGTGCCCCCTCTCATGCTGTCACCTGACTCCACGTGCTGTGCCCTGCACACTGCAGGTGGCTTGTTCCTTGGAAGACACCACGCAGGGCTGAGTGGCTGCTCGTAGTTGGCCGCAGGCCCGCCTGCCTGAGACACAGTGGGTACCCACCACCCACCCATAGTGGACACCAGGCCGCCTGGCCCAGCTGCAGCCCTTCCAGCCTGTTCTAGGACCATCACTGCCTTACCCCCTCTGCAGTGGTGCTGGCCTGGCAGGGCTGCCCTCCCTCCTCCAGTGGGTCAGAGGACCTAAGAGGAAGTGGCACCTGCTTGGTCTGCTTCCGTGTCCAGTGGGTTTCCATGGTGACAGAGATGGAGACATTGGAGAGGGCAGCCCAGTAGGGGAAGGTCTTGCCTGGTGGTCTCCATCCTGCCGACGGCCCCGAGCCAGCCCGTGCAAGGCGGTGGGTGGCCCGTCGGCTGGCCGAGGTCAGGAATCCCTCACGGCAGTATCGGCTGAGGACAGGTTACCAAGACAACTCTGCATCCCGCTCCAGGAGCTGAGTCAGACGGTGGCTTGCATTGTCCCCGCCTCCGCCCTGTCCCCTTGGCCGAGTCTTCCGATGTGAGGGTAGCCTTGTCTCTGCAGAGCAGGAAAGGCTCCCCTGACAGGCAGGCAGACTACTTGGTGAAGGACGGTTTCTTTTCCCCAGATCACGGTTGCCACGCTTCCCTGGCCCCTCTGGCCTGCTGGCCACTGGATCCCCTGGACCCCGCCCAGTGCAGCACTTCCCAAGGGACACACATGGCTTAGGACACAGTGACACATACCCGCTGTACCTCAGTCTGTGGTATAGACACTGTATGTTAGTTGACTAGCCACACTCTACTTGTTTTCCATGAAGTGTCTACTTAGACAAATGAAGCATTTTTAGTAAAACATGTTTTTAACCATGAATGGTCAATTGCGTTGTTTTTTTTTTTGGTTTTTCGCTTTTTTTGGTTTTTCTGTAGCCTGTTAATTTTTCCAACCGTTGACAATTAGGTCATTCTCCAAGTCATACCTGGCAGCCTGCTTCCATTGGAGGGACTGATGCTCCAGTTACACCATTAGACATTTTTCTCTTCACCGGTTGGAGGTAAAACCTTTAAAAAAAACAAAAATCAAGCACACACACACAAAAAAACCACCTCTCCAATTTCTTTTTTCTGTTTACATAGACCAGTCTCCACCAGTGAGATGACTCACTCCCCCCTCCAATAGACAGCTAGTATTGGCAGTATTGCATATTTATAAATACACGTTTTATTTAAAAGCAGAACTAAAGCTTGACTCTGACGCACAGTTCTGTGTGTACTTTCTGGCCGCAGTGAACTGTCACAGAGAGTGACCCTCCCGGGGCCCCAGCCACCTCCCTTGTACCGGGCAGCTGGGGATCCACCTGCAAACAGGCAGCCCCTGCAAGAAGCAGGCGTCCAGCCAGGCCAGCCAGGGGCTGAAGGACATTCGACTATTATTTTTGTATTTAAATGACATGAATGTAAACGGGACAGCTCAGGGTCGTTTTGGAGCCTGTTGACTTTTTATCTCTGCCTGTGATTTTCTGTTCTAAATGGAAACTTCCGTGTAGCAACCTGGTCTGAACTGAGAAGGAAAACGCCAAATGCTTTGGGGATTCGCGCTAAGTAGGAGAGCTCTGTGACCTTATGTGTTAGAGTTCCAGAACGTTCTTCCGTCTGCTAAACCTTGAAGAAGTATGTGCCTCAGTCTAGATGTTTTGTCTTCTCTTTTCTGCACTTAATACCTGAGGGTTTGACCCATTGGCACACCTTTGAGGGAGTGGGGCTGGCTCGCCGGGGGCTGTGATGTCGCAGTGCCACCTGCAGTGACCATAGGATGGCCTGATGTTGTAGGCGTTTTCAGGGATTGCAGAAGGGATTAACTGAAGAGACAAAACCTTTATTCCATGTGCTTTGCTCCTTTCTGTACATAGCTCTTCGGCTCATGAACCTAATTGTAAACGTTCAGGTATTTTTGTACAAATAAGGGACTGATGTTCTGTTTCTTGTCGTTAGAAATAAACATAAATACAGTGTTCTTCATTTTCTATTACTTGTAACGTCTGTTTCTGTACTTAAAAGCCCTCGGGCTGGTCAGCCAACGAAAATCTTGGGAAGTGATTTAGGATATGTTAACAACGTGCTTCTAACCTGGCTGAAAACTAGTTACAGAGGAACAGATGGGACGTGCAGGCTGGCGTGGCCCTGCTGGGTGGGCCCCTCCTCGCATCTCCTCTGCAAGAACAGAGCCCGCTGAATGCTCCAGGAGGAATCAGCTCCCCATTCAGGTGTAGCAAACACCTCAAGAAGCTCGTAAAAGCTCACATTTTTGTTCACTGCAATGGCACGTTTCCCACGCAGTGAGACAGTGACGGTTCAAGAACCTGGATTTTGCAGTCACACAAGAAATGGGCAGAGAGAGTAAGAGAATGGATGCCCTGAATCTCTGCTCCCACAGGGCCTCAGCTGGGGGTCCGAGGGCATCGTCACATAAGCCATCCTTGGGCCTGACTCGCCTCCTTGCACCCCACCCCAGGCAGAGAGTCTCTTGTCACGAGCCAGCCTATGGCATTTTGAACTCTCCCATCACTTGTTTTCAGAATGTGGATCCTCGGTTTCGGGGAGCTCATCCCTCTAAGGCAGGCTGCCCTTAGAGCAAGAACAATAATTCGCAACTCCCTCTTCGTGAGAGGTGCGTGTGTGGGGGGTCTAGTGTGTGAATGTGTGTAGGGTGTGTGGCAAGGGCTGTGTTTGTCCGCGGCGTGGGAGAGGAGAAGCCAGCGTGGTGTGTGGGGCGCAGGTGGAGGGGCATCAGGAAGGCTGGACGTGGGCAGGGCAGGCGCAGAGGCCTGTGAGAGTCTATGTGGCGAGAGAGTGCACGGTGGCGGGATGTGCAGTGTACAGAGATGAGTGACAAGGAAGAACCCGCCATTTCCGTCCTCCCCGGGGAGGAAACTCTGGGCCAGGGTCCAAAATGTAGCAAAGGTACAGCTTTAAACTTGATCTCGCTGCCTTGATCACATTTTTTATTGGTTTTTTAGAACCCATTTTGAGTGATTTGTAAAATTATAAGAAGAATTTTTTATGATAAAAGCGTTCCCTTGGGAAAGGTAAACAGGAAAATATCCTACCGCCTTGGGTTTTAGAACGGTAAACTCATAGCCACCCTTCTCATCTTGGGAATTATACAGCATTAACAAGAAGGACAGGAAACAAGTGGGAAATCCATCCTTGGCAGAACTGGGAACATGGAAGAGGGGCTGCTCACCAAGGAGGGTTGAGACCAACGCAGGACAGGAGATGCTGGTGGAAAATCTGTGACTGCAGAGCTCAGCCAGGCCTGCAGCGGGCACTCCAGGATGAAAGACACACCTGGAAGGGGCACTACAGACCCTTTTGGGAAACAGCAAGACAGGCATGGGGTCCATGTTGAGTTACTGGTGACATTCCACCCTCTACCACCCCGGGGATGCTGTGTGTACTTTCAATCTATAAATAGATCCAAGTCTTGTTTGATCTCTGAAAGGTTTCTTGAATTACGTCTAAATATATTTGTGTTACATCACTGCAGGTCTTTTTTTCTTTTAGACAGCAATTATATGTGTGTTAGGTCTCTCTCATCTGCCTTTCATAAGCTTTCCCTTTTCTCAAAACTTCTAATTCTCATTTCTGTTTGGTGTGCATGTCCATCTGTCCCATCATCCAGGTCACTCACAGTGTCCAGGCAGGAGGGTTCCTCCCTGAGCTGCTTCCAGCATGGACCCACTACCAGGGTGTTTCTTTCTCTCTCCCATTTCTCTTCGGAGCCATGCTGGCTGTCCTTGCATATATTCCTTCATCTCCTGTATCACTGCTTTGAGCTTCGGTGAACTGATTGTTGTTGTTGTTGTTGTTGTTTTAATTCATGATACTAGGTTTGGTTGCCATTTTAATCTATTCCATGGCAATATATTTCTACTGAATGCTCTTTACCATTTTTTTCCCTACTCTTTTCTCCTTTTGTCTTGGGCAGCTTCACAGAAGATCAGTGCTGGTTCCTTGAGGAAGGTGAGTTCTTCTTGGCCGAGTCATTTATAGGAAGTTTGTGTGGGAAAGAAGACAGGGGTCGTGTCTGATGCTAGCAGGACAGAAATAAATAAACGCTATTTATTTATAAATAAGCACAAAGGGTCACAGATGTGAACTCCAAGACCTTGACAACATAAGCCATCAAGATTAGGCTTCCCTGGTGGCGCAGTGGTTGAGAGTCCGCCTGCCGATGAAGGGGACGCGGGTTCGTGCCCCGGTCTGGGAAGATCCCACATGCCGCGGAGCGGCTGGGCCCGTGAGCCATGGCCGCTGAGCCTGCACGTCCGGAGCCTGTGCTCCGCAACGGAAGAGGCCACAACAGTGAGAGGTACACGTACCGCACCAAAAAAAAAAAAAAAAGATTGATCTTCCAACCAGCTCCTCTTCCCATTCAGCCTCCCACACCTTCCAGACAAATCTCCCCAAATGATTGCGTGTTAATTTGCAGTACAACAACTTTTTTCCCTCAGTTGTTCTATGGCAAGTTATGCAATGTCATTTTTATAACTATGGAGTTTTGTTATTTGAAATAAAAATTATGACAAAGTCTCTTAGAACATAAAAAATTCCATTGTAATTCTACACTCACAC